CTGTGTTTATGCAAAGCGTGCTCCCCATTAGAAACAAGGTATAAAACTGACATCTTAAGGCAACTGAGGGGTCTTTGCTGGCAGTCGGGGGTACTGTTTTCTAGCAGAAAAACTGGTAGAGAAAATTGAGTTCTTATAATGAATTCCATAACAGCAGCTTAGCCGTAAATGATTTTTTAAAAGTCACTTGACTGTGCAAACTGGTTAGAGCAGAAATATTTTAATGATATTTCAAGAGCTTAATGTCAACCATCAGTGTCCAATAAATGAAAATTACTTTAAGTGATACATCTGGAAATATGATTTTTTTTGAGCCCAAATCTCTCAAGCTTTGCATAAAATCTGGATTTTTATTTTTACTCTGTGTATGTTATATAAACTTATTGTATTTATTAGAGATAAAGAAGATAAATTAGATGCTACTTAGAATATTGAAAAATGAGTAAAATGTTAAGACATGTTAAATTTATTGTTTGATCATTGAGGGAGAGCAAGCAAGCAAATAATTTATTTAAAAGAAGCAATTTTACCTAAAGAAAGGATAATATTTTAATAAGCAGAAGGGGGAGAGGGAATACATTATGAGATGGAAGCAATGTTATTGGAATGAAAAATGTAATGTGCCGAAGTCACTACTTTGAAGGGGAACACACTGATCCGAATATAAAATTTTGTTACATTCCTGCAAAATCCTAACTTTATCTTCATTCTTATCTGTTCATGCATTTAACTGATATTTATTGAGTATCCACTCTGTGTACCAGCATCATAGGAGGAGCACTGGTGATATTTCAGTGAATAAGACAAGCCTACTCTGAGTGGAATTTTCATTAATTAACTTATGCATTCATATGTTAGGTAAAATGAGGTTTAGCCCTGTGTGCCAGAAAACTTGAAATAACAAGGTTTAACAATTGTCTCATGGAAATAGAGATCTTTCAGACCTGAAAGAATGACTCGATTATCATGAAAAACTTCAAGTTCTTTGTCTTTTTGCTCTGCCATTCTTAATCTTTGTATATATTTAAGCTTTTGAATCTCTTTCTTTCACTTGTTATAATGTGTTGAGATGTAGACTGTTGTTTGGATCGACAGTGTACCCTTTTTATTATTGAACAGTATTCCATTCTATGGATGCACTACACTTTGTTTATTCCCCAGCTAAGGAAGTTTCAGGTTGTTTCAAGCCTTTGGTAAAATTGTTATAAGAATTTGTTTATAGCTTTCTGTGTGAACATAAGCTTTTCATTTCACTTGGGTAAATATCTAGGAGTGAGATTAATACATTATATGATTAGGTGTATATTGAACTTTATAAAAGCTACAAAACAATTTTTATCATGGCCATACCATTTTGTGTCCCTACCAGCAATGTAAAAAAATTTTAGTTGCTCTTTATCCTCAATAGCACTTGATATCACTGTTGATTTATTATTATTTTTATTTATTATTATTTTTTCCTATAGTAACAATTGTATAGTAGTGTCTCATGGTAGTTTTAATTAGCGTTTCACTAATGACTAAAGATACTGAGCATCATCATTTTGTGTGCTATTTATCACCTCTGTATCTTTTATGGAGAAGTGTCTGTTCAATTCTTTTGCCCACTTAAAAATTTTTGTTGTTTTCTTATTGCCTTAACAATAAGAGAGTTCTCTGAATATATTAGCTACAAGTCCTATGCCAGATATATGATTTACAAATATTCTCTCCCAGTCTGTGCCTGTCTTTTCTTTTTCTTACCACTGTTATTTGCAGAGAAAATAGTTTAATTTTGACGAAGCCTAATTTTATTTATTTTTTCTTGCAGGTTGTGATTTTTACTTTGTGTATTAAAATTATCAGTCCTGGAATTTTAAATGTTAAAAGTTGCTTTAAAAAAACAATAAATTCCTCCTACCAATAACAGATTATCTACACATAGTACATTAGCTTTATCTCCTAAATGTGAAATCAAGTAGAAAGATATTAGATAATTTTTGCAGGAAGAACCAAAATAGAGTTAAGAACAATGAAACAAGTATGTAATGATTATAACTTTTACAACAGAGAAATAATTTTTTTTGGTTCTTGTTCAATAGAAACATGTAAACACATGAAACCCTTATGCTTTGTGGGGGTTTGAAATACCCATTCATTTATTCACCCATGTATTTACTATAAAATTTTTACAGAGTGCCTACTATGAGCCTAGTACTATGTTGTATATGAGAATACATAGATGAATATGATGGGAGACAAAACTTTCAATAAATAAATCAAAAGATCATAACAATTCAGTAAGAATTATTATTGACATATGTTCAAAGTAAACTCTGCTTCTTTTTGTACATATAATAGTTCTATGACACTTATCTCAGTTTGAATTTTTTTTTCTTTGAATGACTACTTGATTTAATGTCTGTCTCTCTCAGGGTGCACTCCAGGAGAACAAATACAATGTATGTTTTCATCATTGTGCCTGGCACACAGAAGAAGCTGGATTAACAGTCATTGAATAGATATAGTGCCTGCTATTGAAGTACAGCCCCAGGAACTGATAATTCGACCCCTGGCAGTTTTGAAGACTTCATTATAATGGTGACATTTGAAGTGAATCTTGAAGCTGAAGTAGGAACTTGCCATTGAGGGGAGGGGAGAGTTGAGGGGGAAGAGAAGACAACATTCCAGCACTGGGAGGTCTTAGACACAGACTGTGAATGTCCACTTCCCTGGCAAAAGTTGCCTATGAGGATAGGGGCAGGATGAGGCCCACAGGGAAGGCTGAACTCAGACCAGGAAGGAAAGGCCTTCGGTTTCAACTTCATTATTTGGGGGACTGACAGATTTTAATGATGTGATCACATTAGCAATTCTCAAATAGAGATAGCAGTATGGAGAGAAGAATGTAGCTGTTGCTACAGCTCTGATAACACAGGATAAGGCAACAGAGATGTTGAGGGATAGACCTGAAAGCTATTCCAAAAGATAGAATTATGGGACTTAGTGATTGATAAGGTATGAAGGGTAAAGTAGAAGGATGACTTAACACCTTTGCTTTACTGATGATGCCTGAGGAATACTCTATGGTAGTTAACATTGTTTATGGTATTACATGTTCTTTAGAAAATTCAACAAAATATAAGGAAGAAAACAGGATGCTACTCATTATCCCAACACACAGAGTAACCACTGTTGATATTTCATATGCATATCATTCTATCTTTTTAAAATACATTTTTGGAGAGAGAGAGAGAGAGAGAGAGAGAGAGAGAGAGAGAGAGAGAGTCTAAGGATTCCATTTCTACCCAGCACTATGGTCTTGTGAACTGCCTTAATATGCTGAACTTCATTTTGAATTCAAATATTAAGTTTTAACTAAACTATGCACGAAATCATTCTTTTTTAAAAAAAAATCAAATGAAGTAGGTTCGTGGTGGAGAACTGAAGAAGGCAATTTCTTCCCTGGAAAGGAAGCTAAATGAGTGGCAGCCATGACACCCTGGACATGCCCTCATTAGTAACAGATACTAACCTGCAGAGGTTATCTACCCAGTTACTGGGGGACACAGCCAGGGTCAGTTTGATTAATTCATATTTAATCTATTAAAAGTGCTGAGCCCTGTAGGAAGACAAACACCTGAGCATCTCCATCTTGTTTGTCCAAAGGTCCTAAAGGAGTGCTAATTATTTTTGTTCACTTGAACCCTGAGCTTGTGTAAATTTGTGCACATAAACTAACTGGGAGGAGCTGTTGATTCAAAATACCTTATCCTAACCCCTTCCAAATAAAAGGATGCTTTAGGGGGGAAAATAAAGGATGTTTTGATGTTGAAATAGATTATAATAGATTGAAGAGGAGAGGCAGGGAGATTCAAAGAGGCCTGGAGAAGAGGGGTGGGGGTTGGGGGGAGACCTCTAAGACCCACGTAGCCATTATGGCGGGCATAGCTAAGGTAGCCTAGCAAGGCAGTTACCAGGCTAAGGGGTGTGGGCGGCTAGTCCCGAGCTCCCCCGCGGAGTCCTTCCTTCAGATTTCCTGGGAGACCTTCCCTTGTCACCCCAGCTCCCCATCAGCTTCTGGCTTAGCTCAGATGGACGAAGACAGAGATGAATTCTGCTTGCACTTCAAGGCTCCCAACTGAAAACTCCAAGAGCATCAAACATGATTTACAAGGAAGAGAAAAATCAGTATCCTGAGAAGGGTGGGCTGGGTTGGGGGCGTTACTTGGGGAAAGGGTTTGGCAGAACGCAGGAGAATTATTCCCTGGGCGATTCCCACCAAAAACCATAATTAAATTCCCATTTTCAAACAAACATCTGCCTCCCCATCCCTGTATCCACTGTCCCTCAGTCTGGGTCCTCAATTGTAAATGTCAAGCAGCTTCTGCACGCCCTGGCGTTTGGAACTCCACTTGCTCTACAGTTCCAGCTCAAGTTCAGCGGGTGTCTCGAAGGGGAAGGGTAGAGCGTGAGATTTGGCTTGGTCCCTTCGGTTTTGCCAGGCTTCCCGACCCGCAGCTGCTGGGCAGGGTGAGTTGGGCGGCTCAGGGAGAGGCACTGGGGAGCGGGTGTCGCGCACAGGAAGGAATCTGCAACCTGAGCAAACACTGCTTGCTCTGGACGCTCACTGTGAACAGGCTTCCCGGGCAGGTCCCAAATCCCCCACCTTTTCCGTTCACCCAGTCTGCCAGAGAGCGGCGCCGGGGCGCCCCACCTGCGCGGGACCGAGGTCTCCTGCTGGCGGGGAGTTTACAGACTTGGCGCTTAGGCTGACTCTCCCAGAGTTGGGTCGCGCGCGCCAGACCAATGAGCGCGCACCGCGGAGGGCTCGGCTCCTCCTGCGCGCACTGATTGGCTCCACGACCCGAGAGGCCGGGCTGGCCGGCTGCAGCAGCCGGCGCCCGCGAGTGCAGGGCGCGAGTGGGAGTGGCACTCGCGCCCCCCGTCGGCCCCCGCCCCCTGTCCCTCCCCGCCGCGATCTCTCCTTCCCTCCTCCCTCCCTCCCTCCCTCCCTCCCTCGCTCCCTCCCTGCGCTCCCGGGCTCCGGCCGCGCGCTGGCGGGGCTCCGCATTGCACTCTCTGGGGGCGCCGCAGTGTTCGTGGGATGGGGCAGCTGGCTGCCGCTGGCGCCCGGAATCCGCGCGCAGCCCGGGTGAGTAGAGACGGGCTTCCCCGAGGAGCACAAAAGGATACGCTTTTGGTGGTAGCGGATCCCCAGCTGATGCCTGGCCTGGGCCAAGCCTGGGAGTGGGCTCAGTCGCTGGAACTACCTAGCGCTAGGACAGCCTTCACCCCCGCCCCAAGGCCAGCGGAGCTGTGGTGACGGCCTCTACACCCAGCTCTCATGCTTTCCTTCGGAGTGGGCAGAAAGCGCTGCGCGTGTGTCTAGAGGGGCGTGTGTGTGCCTGTGTTTTGTGCTGGAGCGCGGTGGGGTGGGATAGAAACGTTAGGAGCTGCAAGTTCAAGGCTGGAGGAATCTTCTCCAGGAGTAATTCAGTACCTTCTCGGGGCCAAGCGTGCATACACCAGGAACTCCAGCTGGAGAGAGTTCCCCGGTAGCTAGCGGAGTGGCAGCACCCCACATGTTGCTGCAGGGGGTGGTGTTAGTGGGTTGGAGAGAAGCCGGCTGCAAGGAGGTGCACTGTGCTGGGCCACCTCCCAGTTGCTGTGAAAGGGTGCTAGGCCCTTGGACAACCCACTCCTAGGATCCTGGGCGGAGACTGTCCACCTAAAGTAGGGACTTCGTCTGGGCTTCACTTGGTGATCGGTTTTCTCTTGGTAACAGCAGTTCGGTGATTCATATTTGACCAAGCCATCAATTTCAACATAAAACTCTCTATTTTCCATCTAACTCATTCTGACCCCCCACTGCAGTCTCACCACTTCGGCCAGCAACCCCTCCAGACCCTTAACCCCCATAGCACCTACTCTTTACTGCGTGATTCAAACTTGATATTTGGACACGATTGTATCTTGCGTGGTCCCAGGTATGTTTAGTGTCACAATCACTTGCCATCCTAATGTACTCCAGAGACTTGTTTTAATTTCAGGGCATTGGGGAGGTGGAAATAGATCTTTGATAGTGACTTGTTGGTGGAACAGCATTGACCTCCCAGAGCACATGACAAAAACAATGTTAAGCTTCTCCCTTCGGTAACCTACCCAAGGTGTGACCTCCAAAATTCAATTTTCTTTGTGGGAGGCAAGGGAGTTTAGATTCTCTAGGGGGAAGCTTATTTCTTGTTAAATTGACTTACAGTGACATACACTCTGTTCTGCTCTGCTCTGGCCAGCCATTGCAGATGCCACGATATTATTAGAGCAATTCCCTTAAAGCCATTACATTTTCTTTCCAGTGAAAGGAACTCCAAGTAGCTGTTTAAAATTTCACATCTGCACCTTATTTCTCTGGAAGACATGAATGGTTACTGTATATGTGCTCACGTGTACCAAGTTTGCAAAAGATATTTGTGCAATCGTCCATGAAATGGCTTAATGCACATTTATGTTAAACCCATTTAAATGTAAAACATCTATCTGTTTTCAATTTTAGTTTCCACCTCAACCAAAGCCACCAGAATGAAACAAGACTTAAAAGAGGCTTCCTTGTTGAAACAGAGGTTTACTGCACTCTAGTCTTGAGAGCAAACAGTAAGCTTTTTGAGCTCATAGATACATAAAACCTGCTGAAAATTGAACATTGGTTTCTTGGGTTAAAAATATCAGAAATGCTTCCAGACCAAAAAAGGTAGACACAGTTCGTGGGGCTATTTTTTGAATTTGTCGATTGTCTTTGTAAGGTGAATGTTTATAGCAGAGAATGCATAAATTGGACTGATTCTAGGCAAGTAATGCCAAGTAAAACACCATACCATGTATTGTATTATACTGTACAGTTTACATCACCCCCATTTTATAGATGGAACAACTGAGGTTCTCAGAGGTTGAGTTTTCCAAGGTGAATGGCAGAGTTCAAATCCAAGTTGCCCCTAAATCCTTCCCTCCCGTCTTCCTTATTCCTTCTCCCCTTCCCTCCTTTTTTTTCCTTAATGCTGGGTGACATCTTTGGTGTTTGCCCACTTCTAATTCTACATCTCATTTTACTATTCAATCCACAGCTTCAGGGACCATAATGTACCACCCCTGAAAGGCTCTGCTGTCTGCTAAATATCACTTAGCTCCCACTAAGTTGTGGGCTGATAAAGATTTAAAGAGAGAGTTAATAATGATTTTAAGGAACCACCCTTTCATTTTATTATTTTTATTAGTAAGTTGTTAAAGATACAAGTCATCATAACTCTGAAGTAGGATGTCCTAGTGGTAGGGTTTCAGGAAAATCAAGTGACCAATCGTGGCAAGAATGTTCCAGAAATATGTAAATTTTCTACTTTATAAGCAGAAATTCCTCATAAATTCTATAGACAATTAACAATGAAGTCTTAAATGATTATTTCATTAGGGCTATTTTTATTTGAAAAAGAATTGACAAAACAGATGACTTAAACCTCTAAAGAAAAAGTCCTGGAATCCTTATTAACTAGTGTACAAATGTAGGAGAAGACATTGGTTAAAGAGAAATCATATTTTCACTTGCATAGGTAGCAATTAGAAACTTAGAGATATCTGCCTATCTGATTATTTATAAAAGCCCAGAAATTGCGAATCTTTTCTTGGAAAATTATTGCTCACATTATTTATTTGTGGCATTGCATAATATTTATTAAGATGAATGGTGTTAATTTTGTTTGCATTAATGTGGGTAGGTGTTGAATTTACTAGTAATGTCTTGGTTAAGTATTTGGGCTTTGGTTTCAAGTTATGGCTTAAAACATGCTATGGAACTTCAGAAAATGAACCTCTGTGTTTTCAGTTTCTTACGTGTAGCACACGAATAATGCACCTACCTTATGCAATTGTTCAGTTTACTTATGCAACAAATATTTAGTGATTTCCTAGTTTGTACTGCTCTGTTCTATATGCTGGGGTTACACGAGTTTACATACACTCGAGATCTGATGATGTAATGCGTGCTTAGCATGGGACATAACACCTTATAAGTGGACCATGATTTTTAGTTGTTGATATCACATTCATTCATGAAGTATTCACTGAGTACATAACAGATATAACACAGATTGGAGCATATAGTGTTGAATGATATACATTTCAATTTAATTTAGTTCAGTGTTCTAATGGATAGAGAGGACTCCAAAGAAAGACATCAAGTGCCTAATCATTCCCTAAAAGGGAATTCAGTGCTGACACTTGGAGCAGGGAAGAGGGCTGGAAAGAAATACTTAAAAAGCCGAATTGCTCATTAGAAATTGGGAATATATAAATTCTCTTATGGGAAACCACCTATGATAAGAAAAATGAAGGCCTTGTACTCAAGTTCTTTAAAACATTAAATAGGGGGAAAAATACAGGAAAGAAAAATATTTGAAGGGTTATGTTACTAAATTGAGCCCATAAAGGGTGATAGATCCTGTGCACACTAGACATGAAGTAGCCAAAGATGAATCTTTACAATATATTTCTAAAACAATAGTGAAAGACAAATACTGGGAAATCAGGATTGTGGAAGCAGTTGGCTTTCATCACACCTAACACACACTCAGAGATAAGAAGTGATAAAATAGAGTATAAATGAATTCTTTGCTTCTATTTTTGCTGAGTAATATTCCTGTAGTAAGGCTTTCTCAAGCAGTACACACACTGGAGATAATATATCAAGAAGTGCTTAGGGTACTCCAGACCTAATCAGCACACTAGATACAAATAAATCACCAAGACTGTATGGCCTTTGTCCAAGTATGTTGAGGAAACTTGGTGTGTGACAGTTTTAGGGGGCATTTATGGAACACTGGCTGATGTCCTATGGGGTACCTGTCAAGGAAAGGGTTTCAGGAAAGACCCCGGGACCATCGAACCAGATCCACATGATTGGGAGATTAGTATTCAAAGCAAATGGATAGTAACAAATAATGATTTATATTAGAGAAAGGAAGAATAATGTATTAGAGCTAATGGAGGAACGTGCGTTTGTTGTTAAGTGTTGTAGAACATGTAATTTTTTAATCTTTCAGGAAGCCTAATGAAGTAACTGAGTCCCAGTTCCCCCTGTATTCACAGTCTTTTGTTATGAATGGGAAGCTGGCCAAGGAACAAAAGTGTAGATCAATAGGTGCTTCTGAGTGGACAAATAGGCTCTTCCAGGAGGTAGTTTGGAGATCATCTTATTTAACACTTGTACAAATGTTTATAGATAATAGGTGTTATGGCGAGCTGCCTCAGAAACACTCTAAATCTGAATTCAAACAAAAGAGAGCTTTATTTACCTGGCCAGGGGCTGTCTCCCCCCTGTAGAGACCAGCCCTTTCCTGGCCTGTGTCTTGACAACATCAACTCAGGGACTTTTCTCAGCGTCATGCAAGCAAGCAAGTTACAGTGGCTAAAAAAAAGCAGTTAGCTTAATCGCATCTAGGTCCGAACAAGTGTCAGACAACCATATCCTGAGTTTCAGCTGAGCAGGGAAGATAATCTATTTTAAAGTCATATAGACCCATAAATGTACTAAGACCCAGGATGTAGCTCACTAGGACCACCACTATATCCTGAGTTGGGTACATTCTGTGGGATACAAAGTATAGAAAAACAATTTTTAAAGAGAAGACAGCTTTCGTTTCTCTTTCTCAGAAATGGGTCATGCAGTTCCCTCTTCACAGGAGCAGTAGCAGAAAAACTGGGATAGAGTCTAGAACAACTAAGATGGAGTCCCTACGGCCATGCTCATATAGCCACAGTGACTCTGTTCCTGCTGTCCTAGTACTAGGGACTTATTTGATCCTTGCAGTTATCTCATTTACTTATCATTTTACTACTGATCAAGCTAATACAATTGTTCACAACTATGTTTGATTTAACCTTGTCTATATCTATAATAACCTATCAGCCTATATTTATCTATAACTATATTGGCATACTGACTTATCACCTTTCACTGTTCCATATCCTATGTCTCACAGTTACATTCCTGATGAAATTATCTATGAACTTATGTCCTACTGTTGCTTATCCTTGTTATCTTACCTTATTCCTATAATCTATAACCTATGTATGACTTATTGATTATATTGATCCGCTCACACAACA